ACATACTATTTTAGTATAAGGACCAAAATTTGAACCAGCATGTAGTTTGACATGATGCCACACATACCAAGACACGTTTTGAAGGTTTGAAGCTGGTCGATTTTTCGCTTTTTGCAACAAGCATTTGACAGCACTTAGTTAAAAACTCATGTAAATTTTAAAATTAAACCAAAGCTCTTTAAAATGCCACATATAAAAGTCACATTAATTATGCTTTGAAGTAAAAACACTCCCGATTTCTTACGAAACATCCTCCTTTAGTACTAGCACGCTAAAAGTTGCTCAATTTTACTGTATTTTTTGCATAATTAATTAGGTAAAGACCCGAATTTTCGTTTTTCCCCATTTCCTCGGACACATTTTATTTTTCAAACTTTGAAATATTGTTTTTGAATATATCTCCCTAAAGGAGTTTTGCAGGCAAATTATCAGAATTTTCGATTTTTATAGCCTGGCCAGCAATTCTCGATATTTACAGTCACGGGCTCGTAAATTGGCCACCGTGAAGAGTTAAAAAGCTGACCGTTAGCCCTACATCAGAGCGAAACCCTTCACTCTGACGAAGGGCTGAACGCTCGACACGTCAGCTTTTTAACTCTTTACGGTGGCCAATTTACAATTTCAACTCAGTTGATATAACCACATTTCATATTAATAGTTCTATGACTTCTAGATAACAGTTAATGTGGCTTATTCGTCATAATTAACTTTATTTCAGCTTAAATTCAAAACAGTTATTTAGTAATTTGTCTTTTGAGTCAATCACCAAAAGAGAACTTGTTATCTGTCGATTCGATCTATTTCAAACCTATGGGGAAATATTTCACTCTTGGTAATCCTCGGCCAGGGTAGACTACCTACCAACTTGAGACCACTCATAGTTGGTTTCTTTGTACAGATATTTCAACGAAATAAAGTGGATCAGTAAAGAGGAAAAAATCACCCGCTTTGAATATCCATTAGAAGCAGAACAAAATTTTATTTATCAGAATATATTTGCGTCATTTGTCGACAAACAAATATTGAAACAGACTGCCCCGTATCCAAAACACTTCTCTGGGGATACCCAGAACCCTAAAAGTGAATTAAACAAGAGACTGGGGTAAGTAACAAGGCATCCTCTTTTATTTGTCGTGGACAAAAAAAAATAATTGCTTGCAGACGTCAGAAAGTTGTCATCCAAAGTTAATTTTCGCATTTATGATTGTGGTTGGTATTTCTTGTGAAGCATCTTGGAAAGAGCGATCGGTCAGCAGTTCCAAGTGAATTGCCTCAAATGTGA